GCGGAGGACTTTGATGACGATGATGATAATTTTGACGATTAGGATGAAAATTATAATAATAATGCCTCGACACAACAATTGTGGTAGCAATAAGGAAGAATTATAGAAGCTTTCAACCGAAAAAAGGGTTGGTATTTTATAGTTGATGTAAATTGCTGTTGGACCCATTTACTGTGCGTGTTGATCTAACGATGTTTACCTCTAGATGTGAACTGTGCTTGTGTTTAGCGGGACAATTAGTCAGTACACGAATAGCAAGATAATTACAGCAATTATGAAAGGTGTACATTTCACTAACCACCACCGGCTTTTATATCTAGTTGTTATGGTTTTCTTATGGCTGTTCCGCTTGCAGCTTTCCCTCTTTCCAGACGATAGTGTTATATTATGCTTTGAGGGGGAATGGGGAATCGCAGTCCAGGGTGATGACGAGTGTGACTAGCAAGACCCGCCCGCGTTAGAAAAGGTCTTCCGCAATTAAAAATGGGATTTCAGGATCGCTGTTTTCATTACTTGTAGTCCCCCGTGTGGGTTAGGGGGCCCCATTGTGGGGAAAACAAGAATAGACCCACTGCCTCCCTAAAAGCATGTCGTAAGAGTCGACTAATTGGGGAGCTTCCTTTAAAGTTGGAGTGCATCTGCCGGAGAGGCAAGGAACCAACAGTTCTGTATTCAAGAGAATGAGATCTGTAAATCTGATGCACACGCAACACTCAGGTTCTGGAGCAGGACTGCAGTTCAGTAATGGACGAGCAGCCAGAACTTTCCCCCAGAGTGTACAGCTGGTGAACGCGAAGAAGAAGAAGATTACGTGTAGTTAGTGCGTTTCGCAAACGGTCAGTTCTCAGCCGATCTGCAATCATTGTTTTTCTTTTAATTACCATTCCCTTTCCTTTTCTCCCACCCATTCCATGGTATTTTGTTCCCATGAATCTACCCCAATAGCTATATCACTCATGCTTCCTTTTGCACACATCTTTAAATCGTAATAGTTACAGATCTCGACATCTTTGACTCATCTGTATTTTCCCACAGAGGATGTGGTTAGGAACTTTACTATTCTACATTCTATAGGTTGAACCAGCCACCGGGGCATTCGCCTGCTGGTGTAGGCGTTCATGCATCTCCACAGATGTCGGTCTTTGCTGTTCTGAATCTATTCCACTGATGATTTTCCTCCATGCCAGTGTCTTAAGCCATCCACCACCATTTCTCTCATGGTCTACCTCTGCCTCTTCTACCCGTGATCTTTCCAGTCGTAAAGATATTTTCCAAAGCTCTTTTTCTCATCACTTGACCAAAGAACTTTGTT